GAGGGAGGGTAAAGAATATGATCAAAATACATTGTATGAAAAAATATTCTGAATAAATAAAGGTTCAAAAACCCTGACCTGCTCCCCCTTGTCCTTTGACATCTTTAGATCTTATTTATCATGATGCTCGATCACCATGATGCACCCAGATCTTTAACCTCATGTCTCATTGCTACCCATTCTGAAGTTCCTGAAACACTATCCATTCTTTGGTTGAGGGGCATCTAGGCTGCTTCCAGTTTCTGGCTATTACAAATAGTGCTGCTATGAACATCGCTAGCACATTATTCTTGATGATAGCCATTCTAATTGATTTACACTTCTCTGGTGATTTCTGCATCTGCTCGTCGGCCACGACAAACTTCTCTGAAGAAGTATCTCTTCAGATTTAGCCCATTTTTATTGAATGACTTCCTTTTAAGAACAAGTTTCTCTTTAATGTTTTTAAAATTAACATAGTCCCATGACTTCACATTTGCCCTTTGGGATAGGAGACATCTAACCCCAAAGGAAATAACTGCAGCTTATGAAACAAGTAAGTACCCACACCACAAATAAAATAAGACTAAACTTTCCATTAATAAAATACCAACCGTTTCTGCATAACACAAGGGAGAGAGGGCAGGAGAGAGGGCAAAGAGCTCTGTGTCTCCTGTATTACTAAAGCCATCACCTGGAATTGCACTCTGCAGATGGGTATGGACACTGGCAACAGGATGCCTCCCAACTCCTTTCTCCCCATGGCCATTGTTTTCTTTCTCATTTCTGGAGGTAAGACATGCTTTCATATGCTTTTTCCTTCTGCTCATGAGAAAGTTGAAATCTACATTGGTTTAATTTATGCTTAATATTCTACATAAGGGGAAAGGAAATGATAAGCCCCCAATCATTTTTTCTTTTCTTTAGCTTTTTTTCATTTTATATACCCAGTTCTATCTCCCTCCCCTTCTCCTAACCCTCCAACTTCCCCCCTTCTACTCCCCCATTTGCTCATCAGAGGGAGTAAGACCTTCCTTGAGGAGTCAACAAAGTCTGGCATACCAAATTGAGCCAGGACCCAGCCCCTCCCCTCTGTATCATGGCTGAGCAACGTATCCCTCCATAGGGAATGGGCTCCACAAAGTCAGTTCAGGCATCTGGGATAGATCCTGGGGCCACTCCCATCCTCCCCCCCCCCAACAGATCAAGCCATGCAACTGTCACCCACATTCAGAGGGCCTAGTTCGGTCCATGCAGGTTCTTCAGCTGTCAGTCCAGAGTTCATGAGCTCCCACTAGCTCAGGTCAACAGTCTCTGTGGTTTTCCCCATCATGAACTTGAAGCCCCCCTGCTCATATTATCTGTCCTCCCTCTTTTCAACTGAACTCTAGGAGCTAGGCCCAGTATTTGGCTGTGGATCACTGCATCTGCTTCCATCAGTTACTGATGGCTCAGCGGGTAAAGGTGCTTGCTCCCCCAATCATTTTTTAATGCACCTTTGGTCTTTGCTACCTAAAGGGCACACCAGCTTTTTAAAAATTTCCTAAGTGTCTGAGGTGTTAATATGAAAGCATCAGCCACATATGGTGATTCTTAGGAATCAAGACCTCTACCAAGCAAGGTCTTTGAGTGGAAAGCTGCCAGTGCCATTAAAGTAGGGATGTACAGGCTACATTAACTGACCTGCCAGTTATATAAGTACAACTGGATGCTCTCAGATAAGTCTTACAGCCTGTGTTCATGTCCAGTAGTGGGATGATGAATAAAATAACAGTATCAGTGTAGAATAATCTTAATTACATGCATGCATGCATGTACACACAGGAGCACACACACATACACATGCATACATATGAATGCACACGAACAAATGCCTGTCCTTAATAAAACTCACAAATTAAAATTAGCAGGATGCTAGCTAGCTCATGGACATTGGCTCAGTTGACCATCTTAGTGTCTGTGATATCATCTCCATTTCACACTTGGGAAACCAAGACCAGAAAGGTTACTAAATTTCCTGAGTGTGCAGCTGGTTAGAAGCACTGGGCTTATGCTCCGACTTCAGATTCAACCACACCATCAGAGTTGGAATGCTGGCACAGGATCTATGCACCTATTCAAGGCCATGCTTAGACATCAGAAAATCCATGGATCTCCCAAAGCCACATGTAAATCTTTAAATTGCATGTGTATGCCTTATTTTATTAGATTCTCATAGCTCTGTAAGAAAAATGTTAAAAGAAAGAAAAGACAACGTAAAAAGCCATGACTGGAGAGGACTGCGCTTGACAATGAGAAAATATGGGTTTGCACTACATGGGACTGTGTTAGGACAATGCTTTGACATTATTAGTGGTATGAACTTGGGTATTTAAACTTTATCATTCTCATCTGCCTGGAAAAATACCACCCAACTTCCATTGTAGTTAATATTATGAGTGGTGTCAGTTACAAATGAGTGCCTGGGAATCAAAGATGCTCCATTACTACTGTTACTGTAGGTTCTGAATTTTTCTTTACTTTTAATATATTTACTAAAACTGCCACTGCAGACAATAAACTCACTATGAAATAGTGTGAGTTTTTAAGGCTAATACACCATTGCCCCACCTGTAGGGGACGTCAAAGTGCAGAAAAGAGACTTCCTCCCCACTCTAACCTCCCTGCACCCTGAGCTTTATAAAGTCGGCTGACATTTCCCACCTACATTTTGAATAGGTGGCTTGATCTCTGTTAAGGAAGAATTCAAGATACAGTTATGCAGAGAGATCAGGAAAAATTGCAGAAGCTGGGTTAAACTCAACCTGAATGATGAATAGCAACAGGTTTAAGTTAGACATTGAAAAATATATATATATGTATAATTTTGTTAACAATTAAAATGTTAAAGTCTGAAAGGATATTAAATCTGTGCCTCCAAAGAATTTAAACACGGTAGCTAACAGGCTCAATTTTTAAAATTTATTTATTTTTATTTTCATTAATGCCTTGCCTGCATTTATGTTTGTGTCAGGGTGTCAGATCTTGGAGATATATACAGTTGTTAACTGCCATCTGGGTGCTGGGAAGTGAAGCTGGGTCCTCTGGAAGAGCAGTCAGTGCTCTTAACCTCTGAGCCATCTCTCCAGCCCCAACAAGCTCAATTTAACATCACTTGGTGGATGTTGGTTTCCTTCTCAGGATCCCCAGCACACTGCCTTTTACTTAACTGACTTGAAACCTCCCCAGCCTCACCCGAAATCTTAGTACCTTCAAACCTCCTTCAAGAAGACTTAGCAGTTCCTGCCTCAGATCCTGCAGCTCTGTGCTGATACCCGGGCCAGATACTTCCGAGCATGAACACTGTCATCCTTTGCAAATGGCATGTAGCATGGGTCTTGCTGGTCCATATTACTTGTGCTCATGGTCTTGTATGGAGAGAACTGTGTTCCATCCACTTCTCTTTTAACAGCAGATGTTCAAAAATAGTGGTGGGAAACTGGAACAATTGTGAATTAATTAGAAAAGAAGTCCTGCAACAAAGGGGGTAAGGGAGCTGTTGAGAGCGCTTGCACAGTTAAGTCCTACACAGGACCCAGGTTCAGTTCCCAGCACCCACATGGTGACTCACTACCATCACAACTCCAGGTTCTGGGTATCCAGTGCTTTCTTCTTACCTCCAGAGATGTACATGCAAGCAAAACACTCATACACATAAAATAATAATTTAAAAAAACTGTAACCTCAACATCTATAAAGTGGAGGGTGGTATGCAATACAGACCAAGAATGTCCCGAAGATGGCTAACATGGGGCTTAGAAAACTTAGAAATTCAGTCATTGGGCTGAATTTCTTTCTAGGCAGATTAGCCCAGCAGATACATTTTCCTGTCCAGGCATTAAAATGCTAAGGTTTTGTTTTGTTTTGGTTTACTTACATGGGTACATGTTTTACTAACCGTAGATTTTTTTTTCATCCGTAACAACTAAAGAAGGCTCTCAGTATCTTCACTTCCCAATAAGAGAGTAGAGAATTAGTTTCCATGCAAACTGGGTAGCAGAAAGTCTGTTTGAGGCTAAAGCCAAGTCCTGGGGGGCCAATCAAGGATGCTGCCAACCCAATGTACCCTACTCCCTTCCAGCCCTCCTGTTTACGGCCTCATGGTGGTCTGGGATGGCTCTGCCACGTATCAAATGACTCTCTGTGAGATGCCATCTGCTGGCGATGACAGCCCACAGCGTCAAAATCAGGATAAATCCCTGCTTTCTTAGACACATTTGCTGTCCTCTGCTGCTCAAAAGACCACCTGCATCGGAATTGGGATGCTTATTTAAGACAAGTTTCCTGCCTCTAAACCATTCTCTCGGATGGGTCTGCAGCATGTATAGTTTAAATATGGGCTACGGGTTATTACTATAACAATACAGTCTGAGAACTATCATGCAAAAATAAATGCATTCTACATATTTGTCATTTAACCATAATGAGAAAAATGGATAATAAAAAATAAGTGGGAAGAAGACAGAAAGTAGGGTAGGGAGAAACAGAAAGGAGAGAGGAAGAAACAAAGAGAGCATCAATTTAGGCACATGGAATAAAAATAAAATTTAAAAGTAGGGATGTTTACTTATAATAAAACTTAAAATAAGGCTAAACTCAGGCCTGACATGGCACATACCTGTAATCTTAGCATTTGGGAGGCAGAAGTAGAATGAAAGTTAGCCTTGGCTCAAATATATAAAAAAGAAAAAAAGAAAAAAATAAGAAAGTTAGCCTTGGCTACCTAACAAGTTTGAGACTAGCCTGGGCTACATGAGACCCTGTCTCAGAAAACAAAAAACAGAAGCCAAGCACTAAGCTGAGTTTGAGCAAATGCTATGAAGCAAGCATGCGTGGCTGGGAACACAGCCTTAGGCAGCAAGCACTAGCCAGAGCCTGGGAGCTTGATCTATTCCCTGGTGCTGGACACACATCTAAGAATTTGCAATGTATTTTTTTTTAGCCAAGCTTCCCTGGGGTAAAGTATGGTTCCATGAGCAAAGATTTCACTCTCAATCGATCTCTTAGTTTTTCCAGAATCCTGTAAGGGAATTATAGGAGGAAATGAGCTGCCACCTCATGCCAGACGCTACATGGCTCTAATCAAAGGGCTGGGAATCTGCGCAGGGGCATTGATCAACGAAAACTGGGTCCTGACCGCTGCTCACTGTGACCTGTAAGTCATCCCAGCTCCTCTCACTCCCAATGTTGACTCATAGCTGCCTAGTCCAAAGCCACAATTAGTGTGGAATGGAGACAAAAGTGGGTACACATAGCCAACACTATGTCCTGTTGTGATATTCACCTCACAAACACGGGCCAGGTAGTATAGAGTAAGACTGAAATGCACAATCCCACATCATCTAATCAACAGTATTGGAACTGGAACAGCACCCAGTTCACTTGCCCAGTCTAATCACCCCGACAAGTCTGTCATTATTTTCTTCCCTGTCTGGCTCATCAGCATCTTTACACAATCACTATCAATCACATTGAGTGTCTCCTATGGTTACAGCTCATTTATTCCCTATCACTGGTCTTTTCCTACCTTAATATGGTATTTTAGAGTGATCCCATGAAATTACTACTCTGTGAAAAAAAAACAATAGCAACATCCTATAGCTTAGACTAATGGTTTGAGTCATTTTTCTAAAGGCAGGTGCCTCTTGTTGGCAAGCAATATCCAGTATTTTCTGTTCTCTCTGGAACAAATTGCACGAACCAAAGATTCAGCTTTAAGTTATATATGAAGTTGTTCTGTGGTACAAAATAAAACTTGTCAGGCAAGAACATCAGCCCAATTTGTACAAACAAGAGAGCTAGCCACTGACAAACTCAGTAATTGACAGGACCATTGTGTGCCAAGTTGACCCAACAAGTTGGAATACACCTCATCTGTCATTGGTTCATAGGAGTTGGCTCCAGTTCTGTTTGCTTCTGTATTTGTGTTTGGTGAGGGGGGCTCTCTGTGTGGGTCTGTGTACACATCCATATATGAGACAGCAGGGTCTATGGGGGTAGGGGTGGTCTCTCTCTCTTTCATATATATATATGAAAGCTGTCTGTGTCTGAGTGTGGGTGTGCAATTCTTGGTTTCACTGTCTCACTGTAGAAGCATCTCTTCCTCCCAGCTCCTAAAAGCTTGCCTTGGACCATCTTTCCTATTTTGAATACACAAGCAAGGTTCACTATTTTCTGGAGCAAGCCCAAGCTATGCCTTTGTGTTGGATCTCTCCATTGGGTGTCACCATCCCAGAAGGCCGCTAAGAGACAGACTTTGTTGCACAAATCCAAAGCAGCTGAAGACATGGGAAGTTCCTCCTTTAACACAGCAGAGCCCAGTTCCGCCAGCCAGACACCACAGTGCCTGTCCTGGGATTCCTGCTCTACACCCTCTCCAGGCCATTCCAATTCACGTTTATTTTCTAAGTCAGGGACTCCCTTCCTGGTTGCTTTCCCATTGGACAACTGGACTGTGTCCTAACACGTGGAAGTCTCAGGTAGAAGACACCAAAACATCAAAAAGGGTTCTATAATCCCTGGCCCCATTGTGAGCTTGTTTATAACTATGATGCCGTCTGCAAACACTGAGGACATTAACCCAGGAGCTAAACTTACCCTATTCTCTTACTTAAATACTGTATGATTTCCTTCTCAGGAGAGGCAAGCCTCAGATTATCCTTGGTGCCCACTCTGTATCACAGAAAGAGAAACTTGAACAGATGTTTTCCATTAAAAGGGCAATTTCCTACCCATGCTATGATCCTGAAACATTTCAAGGAGATCTTCAACTCCTTCAGGTAAATATGTTTAGATTTTTTTTGTTTTTCTTTCAAAACTTTTAGTAAACAGTGTAACCAGAAACCAATGACTACATGAATGAGTGTGAGAACACACACACCACACAAACCAGCCCTCACAAGATGGACTCCAAGTGCAAAGCTCTTCAGTAGGGCCTGGATCCAGCACTTTGCCCCTGGTGTTCCTTCCCATTCAGCTCAACAGTTTCTCACAAATTCTTACTGTTGTAGGACCAGGCAGTCTACAGTGTTGCTGCTCATCAACCAAAGGCCACCAGAAGTACCCCCTAGTGAGGCATGTCTGTGCTGACTGACACTCAGCAGGGGAGATGACCACTCTGGGAAACTACTGGGGTAGACTCAGTGAGAGGACCTGGAGAGGGCCCTCTTGCAGGAGTCGAGCCTCTGCCTGGGAGTCTGGTAAAGCACTGAGGAACTTCGAGTCTGCTCTGAACAGTGTTGCAGCAAGTGAGCTAGCTCTATGATGAGGCATCGCTACAGTCTTACCCACCTAGAAAGCAGAAGGGAGAGAGCAATGTTGCGATTGTAAGGGCACAGCCACCATGAATTTTAGCCAATGGGGTTTTGTCATTTGGGGGTTGTGGACAATGACATCAGTTTTGTCACTATTCAAAACTTGACTTCAGAACCATCCTGTGATTGTTCCCTTCATTTGGCTCACCTTGTCTGGTACTGACAGTCTGTGAGAAAGCTGAGAACTGCCAGGAGGATAGGGACCACTGATCAATGGTTAGTGCAGCCTGCCTACCTCTTATACAAAAGACAAGTTGTAAGTGGGACTTCCCCTAACAGTACTCAGTCTAGAGAGAGGCAGACAGGTAAACTACTGGCTCTGAACTGACAGTGTTCAGTTTATCCATGACCAAGACAACCTGGGAGCATCAGGGAAGAGCAGGTGGTAAGAGGATTCTGCTGGGTACCAGGAAAAAGGGAGGGACCAGCTTTCTAGATAGGAAGAACAGCATGTGTGGAATAGAATGGCTTGGAGGAAGAGGAGAGAAAAGGAGTTAGGATGAGATTTGAATTGAGGGTAAAGCAGGACATAGACTACAAAGGCTTTGTAAACCTTGGTTAGAATTTGAATGTTATAGAGAAGTGTTTTAGGCAGGAAGGTGATGCAACCAGACTCATTAAGAGTGATGTAGAGGGTCAAGAGAGATGGCTCAGTGGTTAAGAACACTAGTTAGTCTGCCAGAGTTCCTAAGTTCAATTCCCAGCAACCGCATGATGGCTCACAACCATCTGTAATGAGTTCTGGTACCCTCATCTGGACAGCAGGGATACATACAGACAGAATGCTATACACATAATTTAAAAAAAAAAATGTAGTACAGAACATAGGATGAAGCACAGGACCAGAAGAAAGTGAGAGCAGAAGGGGCTCACAATTTCTCACATATTTGCAAATGGGTTGATGGTGAACTTCATAAGCAAGAATAAGACTGAGCCCAGGGATTCTGTATCCTTATCACTTGGGGTAAAGAGAGAGCCATGGGGCTCCATTTGCCTCTGACAAGACCTTCACCTTCCGTGTCCCCATATTTCCACCCTAACCTCTCCCTCTATTTTCCTAGAGACCACCAGCCCTGGTCCTCCCTAGTCACCCCTCATCCCTATGCTAATTTCTGCCTTGCTTCCTTCTCCATCCCCACCCCTTGGTTACACTTCAGGTTGAGTTTCTTCCTCTGTCTGCTTATGTTCATGAGTCCATAAGCAACTCTGTGTTTTCAGCTGGATGGTAAAGCAGCTATAACCAAAGCAGTGGGAATCCTTCGTCTCCCAAAAAGAGGAGAGGATGTGAAACCCCACACCAAGTGTCATGTGGCTGGATGGGGAAGCACCAAAAGAGATTCTTGTAAGGTTTCCAACATCTTGAGAGAAGTCAACGTCACTGTGATTGACCGGAGAGTCTGCAACAATCCAGAGCATTATGATTTCAAACAGTTGGTGGACAGCAGCATGCTCTGTGCTGGCGGCAAGCAAGGGGAAGATGATTCATGCAGTGTACGTAAATGAAAATGTCTAGCCATCCTTTGACTCTGGGGAATGAAGGGTTTGGAGGGATCTTCTAGGAAGAACATGGTGAAAAGCTGTCATTCCCTTTTATGTCTAAGGACCCCTGCTTGTCCGTAGAGTGACGGCACCATTCTCCATCACTTGGCAGACCCCTAGGGAGTGACTTCTATTTTCTAATGGTCATTTTCAGTACATGGCCAGAAATAAAGTTAAATGAGAACTGAAAATTCCTGGAGAAAAAAAAATAACCTAATTTTTTTTTGAGATATCAAAAGTGCCCTTCTGTCTGAGATGACTTAGCTAGGGTCCTCCTTGGAGAAAGGCATATTTGGGACCCCATCTCAGGCTTTCTAATTTCCTCAACAAATGTCTTCCTTTGACATAGTGAACAAGAGAGAAAACATACATTTTTTTTTAATTTTTTTAAAGGGACAGCAATGTGCTGCTGCCAAGTCTGAATTTGCTCCTCAGATTCTATAAAGGAGAGAATCAACTCTCACAAGTGTCCTCTGCACCGTGACACATGTGCACACATACTTACATATATACAGAGAGACAGAGACAGAGAGATAATCATTATTATTTATTAATACTAGTTAATTATAATTATATATCAATTGTTAATATTAATAATTATTATTTAATTGGAAAAGAGGACATGGATCAATGAAAGGAGACTTATATTCTGCCCTTGTCTTATTGATAGAAATTATTCTTTGCCAGGCAGTGGTGGTGTACACCTTTAATCCCAGCACTTGGGAGGCAGAGTCAGGCAGATCTCTGTGAGTTTGAGACCAGCCTGGTCTACAGAATGAGTTCCAGGACAACCTCCAAAGCTATAGAGAAACCTCATCTCTAAAAACAGAAAAGGAAAAAAGAAATGATTCTTCACTGCTGCAGGACTGCCTTTTGAAAATGGCAAATGACTAGAAAACCTAGATGCCCATAAGCTAAAAAGCCCCTACTACATAGATGCTAAGGACTGAAAAGTAGTGTAGAAGATTATGTTTTGTCTTTCACTTTGAGAATCTCTTCTTCTTGATTCATTTTCTCATTCGGTTTTGTTAGCGTATATGCAGTGTGAACAACAACGGATTCCATCATGAAAGTTTTACTCACACACTCACACACACACACACACACACACACACACACACACACACACACACACCATATACTTGTCACACATACTGTGTTGCCCTCCCTGTTCTCCCCAACCTGCCTGCCAGTCCCCTTCCTCTTTCAAACTCTCTCCTTCTATCATGTTATTCTGCCCCTTTGATTTAGTTTTTGTTTTTGAGATAGGAACTTACATTGTAGCTCAGACTGGGCTGGAAACTCACAGTAATCAGTAATCCTCCTGCCTCAGCCTCTCAGTCTCCATTTTTAATCTAGTTCTGTATATAAGAAAACAATGCGCTATTTGTCTCTCTGAGTATTATTTATCATCACATGCTTATCTCTAGTTAAAGGAAATTTAAGATTTATTTTTAAATTAGGAAAGAGAAATAAAAAGAAAGGGATGGATAGATGGATGGATGGATGGATGGATGGATGGATGGATGGATAAAATGATTAGTAAGTGTCTTGGAAAAGCCCCATACTTAAAACACACGCCTTTCTGTTCCAGGGGGATTCTGGAAGCCCTCTGATATGTAACAACGTTTTCAGGGGTGTCACTTCCTTTGGGAAATGTGGTGACCCCAAGAAGCCTGGTGTCTACATTCTCCTTACAAACAAATATCTCAACTGGATACAGAAAACCATTGCAGGAGCCATGTGACATCATTCTTTGGAAGCAGACCCTGAGGTTACCACTTGAAGAGATCAAGCAAAGGGACCTGAAATGTCACCTATGCCAAGAAGCACTTGTCAGGCTTCAGAACTGCTCTGCCCACAGCATGTCTGACATGATCACCAGCCACCTGCTTGCACTGCTCTGTCAGTCACTTAGACTGCAGCTTCGCATTTACCTCCCTCTGTGGCAAGACTGAGCCCTGAGAAGAGGGGCCTCAGTTCAGAATCACTTTGCTTTGTTCAGAAAATAGGGGCTGATGCTGTGTGCTGTTTAAAAGAAACCAGTCCTGGGGAAAGCCAAAATATTCTCTTCTCTCCTAAATACAGCCCCCAAATACCTGTGGCCCTTAGAATGTGTGTGTGTGTGTGTGTGTGTGTGTGTGTGTGTGTGTGTGTGTACTTTTTTATTGTTTAAACTAGATTCTTCTCTCATACAATACACCCAACCAGAATATCCCCTCCCTCCATTCCTCCCTGCTCCTCTCCACCTCCCCCAAATCCACCACCCCTCCATATCCTTTTCAGAAAAGAGGAGGTTTACAAGAGACATCAGCTGGACAGGTTTAAACAAGACACAGTAAGACAAGGCAAGAACCCTCATATTGAGGCTGGCAACCCAATAGGAGGAAACAAATCTCAAGAGCAGGCAAAAGAGACAGAGATACACCCACTCCCTCTTTTAGAAGTCCCACAAGAACACCAAGCTAACAGCCATAACATATGTACAGAGGACCTGGTGCAGACCCCTGCAGGCCCTGTGCTTGCTATTTTACTCACTGTGAGCCCATATATACCCTGATAAGTTGATTCAATAGGTCATGGTCTCCATCCCCTCTGACTCCTACAGTCTTTCCTTGCCCTCTTCTGTGGAGTTCCCCAGTCTCTCTCTCTCTACATACTGTCTGGCTGTGGGTCTCTAGACCCACTCTCATCTGCTGCCAGAGGAAGCCTCTCAAATGATAACTGGACAAGCCCTGATCTATGAGTGTAGCAGAATGTCATTAGGAATCATTTCATTGATTTTATATTTTATTTTATTTTATTTTATTTTATTGCCATTCATGTTTGGTTCTACCCTAGGTCTCTGGGCCTAGGGTAGTCTGCAGTTCCTAGCTATCCAGGCAGTGTAGGACATGGGCTCCCTCTAGTGGTGTGAGCCTCAGGTTAAACCAAACGTTGGTTGGCCACTCCCACTTGTTCTTTGACACTATTGCCCCAGCACATCTTTCAAGCAGAAAAGATTGTAGGTGGAGAGTTTTGTGGCTGGGTTGGTTTCTCTTTCCATAGCCTGCAGAGTACCTTCTCACACCAAAGAGACTAGAATGTAGGAGTAAGGGCTCCATGCCTGCACCAGCTTAATCACCCTCTCTATGTTAAATGAGTTGAGTGGAAGTTGTCATTGACAATGCCCACCACCCCCCTGTCAGTTTTCAGAGGGCAACCTTCTGTCCTAGCACCAGCCTGGGTTGTTTAGAGATCTCCATGGGAACTCCTTGGTCAACAACTTAACCGAACGTAACCCAGACCCACCACCAGAAGCCTTGCCTGGCTACAAGAGGGCCAGTTCAGACTCTGTATCCTCCATTACTAAGAGTTCTCACTAGGGTCACCCTCATTGGTTCCAGGAAGTCTCCACTGAACAAGGTTTCCATACCATCCCCCAAAAGACCCCCAATTCCAGCTGTCTCTACCTGCACTCACTCCCTCCAACACCCCCTGAAATTCATCCACTGCCCAGCCCCATTTGAATATCAAACAGCCTCCTCCCTGACCCCCAGATCTTCCCTCTTAAACCTATTTAAACTCTAGTTTTTACATTTTTAGAAAATTCCTCTAGCTAGCTAGTTTCATGGCTTAACATACCCAGCCTCCTTCAAAACACTCTGTGGTGTCATAGTACACCTGGCCCCTGGGACACATTCGCTGCCCCCCTATCTTTGTTAATCTGTTATGCACATGTTACCTTGGTAATGATGTCTCTTCCCACTAGTGTGTAAGTTCCATGAAGGCAGAGACTGCTGTATTTTTCAGTATCTGTATGTTCAAAAAATGAATATAATGAAGCTTAACTGCTGCCCTTTGTTAACAAAGGACTACCTACCAGACATCTAAACACCTTTACCCAAAAAACAACTCTGACCGGACTTCTAACAGCACAGAGATTTGCCTAAACATTGGGTGATGGTTGCCTTTGTATAACCATTCCTGCTGTACACACTTTTGTGTGGACTGATTCTTTGTGGAACATTACATTTATGAGAGTCATCCACGGTGTGACTATGCACCACATGTCTGTCCTATCTGTGTATGCCAGGATCCCAAGGTTTTCAGCTTGGGGCTCAAGAATCAAACCCTTGCAGAAACAGTATTAAGTACTAATACTAACAGTACTAAGAAGGTGTCCCCAGGGTAATGTGAGCAAACTAGCAGTGGAGTAGGGAAAATGAGACACAAAAGGGCATAATTTCACCTACATTCCCAACCATGCTCCCACGGGAGAACTGTGAAGTGTAAATGCAGAGTAAAAGAGCCTTCACTCTCACTAACTGGAGGACTTTTCTTAGTTCTTGTCCCTTGAAGGCACAGACTCAGTCACGGTGCACAAACAGCAGAAGCTTTTTATCAATTTAAATTCCAGACCTTCTTGAAAGGACTATGGAGCTCTCGATCAATCCATATATCTTCCTCCCTCATTCCCCATCTCCACTCTCCCTATCCCATCTGCTTTCATTCAAAACACAACCATTGGATGCTCCTATCCTGATTTGCTACCATATTCTGCTCTCATTAAAGACGAAAAATGGCTCCATTTGATCCTCAACTCTGAACCCCCAAAACCCGAGTTAAACAAGGCTTTTCTTGTTATAAAACAGAAACTAACATATCTGTGTCACTTCTCCATCAACATTTCTTCTTTCTAAATTTTTTTATTGTACCCACTCTGTAGAGAAATGCTATTCATGTCACATTTTGCTTGCATTTTCCTAATGAGTTTCCTTTCTGGTGATGCCATAACAAAAGACCAAAGACTTTATGGCTTAACAGCAAAAATTAATTTTCTCACAATTCTGGAGATTTACAAAAACAAGCTCAAAATATATCAGAGATGTTCTGACTCCTAGGGCTTATCTTCTTGCAATGTCTTTGCCTGATCATCCTTCTGTGTGTCCTAATCCTTTCTACTGGATTAGAGCCCACCCATACAACCCTATTTTAAATGCACTGCTTCCATAAAGACCTATGTCTAAGTCTAGCTTTGCTCCAGGTACCAAGGGTTAGATCACCAATACCTAAAATTTCAGGAGACATAACTCAACCCATAATACCTAGTGACAAAATAACTTTATGGTAACTGAGCAATTTACATATTCCCCTTTACTGCTTACATTTCTTACCCATTTTTATTGCATTATGTTATGATAAGTCTTTCTGCCATTGCCACCCGAGCCCTGCAGCCACGATAAGGTCCCAATTAACACACAGAGAGTAACACACATTAGGTATAAATGCTGCTTGGCCAAAGACTAGGATTTCTTATGTTAGCTCAGTCTTAATTATCATAAATCTATATATTTTATAAGACTTATCTTATCGAGAATGCCTTCCACTGGTGCCCTCTCTTGCTGGATCACATGGGGACTCCAGAGCAGAGGCCAGGAGGAAAAGCAAGAAAAAAAGGGAACAACTTCCTTCTTGTCCTTGCTTATATATGAGTCTGCCTGCTATGTCACTTCCTGCCTGGATCACAAGACTTCTTTACTACATTTCCCAGAATCCTCCTTGACTCCTAGTCCCACCTATCTTGCTTTCCTATTGGCCAAGAGTACTGTATTTATCAACCAATAAGACAAACATATACACAAAAGGACCTCCCCCATTATTTGCCTTTTCTCTATTAATTTACGGGCATTTCATGAGGTGACCTCCATAGACAGCAAAAAGCTTTTCTACCAGAGGCAGGAAGACAGTTCTACCAGAGGCAGGAAGACTAAGTTACTGGTATTGGTTCAAACTTCAGGAGTCTGACCCTGAATAGTTTATTTTAGGGATATTTTAGCACAGTACAACTTGGTGAAAACTTTCCTAATGATAATTAACTTAATCCTGTGTGCACAATGAAGCAAACATAAGTCTTCTTGAGGAGCAAAGTAAACTAAATAAAGACAGGTTGTGACTACCTCACATTCCAGAAAGATGGGTTCGATAGATTGGCTGTAAACAACAATATATTAGAACTGAGAACTTAGAAATAAACTCTAATCTTTATTGTCAAATGATATTCAACAAGAAGCAAAAACATCTTTCAGGGAAAAATAGTCTCTTGAACAAACGAATGCTGGGATAACTGAATATTCACATACAAACCATAAAAATGACCCCTACCTCCACCACACAAAACGTCACTCAAACTAGGGACTGGAAAAGTGACACAGTAGTTAGCATCACACACTGCTCTTACAGAGGACCTGAGTTCAGTGCTCAGCATCTCACAACCACCTCCGGTTCCAGAAGACCCAATGTCCTCTCTTAGGTATGCAGACATATACCTATACACAAAATTACAAAAATAAAATAAATTTGTAAAACAGTCAACTCAAGCTATAACAAAAATATTCAAAAATGGGTCTAAATATTAGAACAAAGCAGAAGACAACACTCAAGAAAATGTAGGTGGGGCCAGATGGTGGTGGAGTGGCTTTGATCCCAGCATTTGGGAGACAGAGGCAGACCAATCTCTGAATTCCAGGCCAGCCTAGTCTACAAAGAAAGCTCCAGGACTAAGGCTGCATAGAGAAACACTGTCTTGAAAAAATGGAAGAGAGAGAGGGGGAGAGGGAGAGGGAGAGAGAAAAGAAAAAGGAAGAAGAAGAAGAAGAAGAAGAAGAAGAAGAAGAAGAAGAAGAAGAAGAAGAAGAAGAAGAAGAAGAAGAAGAAGCCCCAACCAATTAGTGGATGACTTTCTAAATTTGACATCCAAGACACAAG